AGGTCATCCATCCCCTCTCAGTTGAAATATATGTGAGTTCTGCATCGCACCAGGATCCCACGGGTGATTAGTTTGGGAGTGATCAAGATCAGCTCCTTACCAGGTTGTGGCTTTTATTAAGAAAACTTCTCAGCTCAGCTGCTTTTCCACAATGCACTCAAGGTTATTTACAACAATCCAACACCAACACAGAATAAGACAATTGCCTGGGCTCCGAGGAGGATTGCAGTGGTCAAGTCTGCTATTTGTGAACTAGGGCACCTTGGTCTCCCAGACACAGGGTTTCTAGGAGAGAGACCAGCCTGACCGTGCCCATGATCTCCTCAGTTTTCTACATGATCAGTCAACCACATCACTATTAGTGTACAGGTACAAGCACAAGAGAAGCTGTCAAAGATTGGCTACTGCATTTATATATTTACTTCATTTTATTTGTATCCCCCCTTTCTTCCCAATGGGGACCCACCCACAGAGGCTTACATCCTTCTCTCCTCCATTTTATCCTCGCAACAACCTTGTAAGGTAGGTTAGGCTGAGACTGTGACTGGCCCGAGGTCAACCACCATGACTCAGTGCTGCCATGGCAGAGTGGAGCTTCAAACCTAGGTCTCCCAGGTTCTAGTCTGTCACCCTGCCCACTCTACCACCCTGGCTCTCAGCGAGATTCCAGATGGGTTGCCGTGTTAGTCTGCAGCAGCAAAATAAATCAGGAGTCCACCGGCACCTTAAAAACGTACTCAGCAAGGGTAACAACAGCAGGAAGTGTCTCACCCCCTCGGAGAGTGGATGGCTGATTGGATCTTGTTTTGAATCGGCCTCTCCCCCCACCCCCACATTTCTGCTTTGTACAAAAATCAGGCCTGATGGATCTGTACAAAAGTCAGGCATCTGATGAAGAGAGCTCTCACTCGTGAACCCTTATGCCCGAATAAATTTTGTTTGTAGTGCCAATAAACTGCTGTTTTATTTTGCATTTAATAAGAATACTTAGACTGAATGCTGTGCTTTCAAATGTTCCAACCTATCTGTTTTGCCTATATGTTGTTGCTCTAACTGTTGTCACAGCCCATAAGGCAAACCAGTATTCTTATACTGAGAATGCAGGGCTGAGGGAGACAGAGTGCTGCAGGGCTTGATTCAGATCAGGACTGTAGCATGTAGGGAGAATAAGCTGAGACATTCTCCTTGCACCATTTCCCCAACATGAAATGGCCCAGGAGGCTCTGTTTGCCCTGTTGGGGCGACACATGTTCAGCTACACCTCGGTTTTGCCAGTGGAGCAAATGATGGCTCATCAAGGCCATTTCACACTAGGAAGATAGTTCTGGGGAGGGGTTGAAGCCCCTTCTCCCCAGGCACCACGGTCTCGATCCACATTGGGCCTCTGCATGCCAGGGAAGGGGAGAGCTCCTAGAGCACAGCTATGGTCTGAGCCGGGGATGTACCTGGGGAAAGAGCATTTAGAAGTCAGCAGTTGGACTCACCTCTTTCCTGAACTCACTAAGCTGCTGTTCTGTTTTCTGATTGTGCATGATCGCACTGATGCTCTCAACCAGTCTCTGTTGCTGAAGAGCATGGAGCAGCCGCTGCTTATGTAGAGCTCCTTATGGACATGGGTCCCCTGAGAGCGTGCTGGCATTACTGACTGAGAACAACTGGGTGTACTCTAATGGCCAGTCTGAAAGCTTAAGGTTTATTTATTGCAACGAGCTGTATATTAGGTTTTGTCCAATGCTTATGGAAGCATAACTGACATGTTACATGTTATCAGTAGGTACGTACCTGGGAAATTGTTTATTTATTAATAATATTTTTATACTCCACTTTTCTCTTGTCGCTCAAGGCAGCTTACTATTCAAAAGGTAAATCCATCAATTGTACAATAAAGCCTCATTGATGTATCAGAAGAAAACACCTGCAGTTCAAAGCCATTAGGAGACCTAACGAATAAACAGCCTTATAGCTTTTGGGCTGCCAACTGCCTAGAGAAGCAGTGACCTGCATCTTTCACAGAAGGTTCAAGGGGATGTTAATTACCAGGTGATGTTATTTCTCTCCATGCCCCTTTTCACATATTAAAGTAAAGGTAAAGGTTCCCTTGCTCGAAAGCCAGTCGAATCCGACTCTAGGGTTGCGGTGCTCATCTCCGTTTCAAAGCCGAAGAGCCAGCGCTGTCCAAAGACATTTCCGTGGTCATATGGCCGGCATGACTAAACACCTTCCCACCGAAGTGGTACCTATTTATCTACTTGCAATTTCTTGCTTTCAAACTGCTAGGTTGGCAGGAGCTGGAACTAGAGACGGGAGCTCACTCCATCATGCGGCAACCGGGTCTCGAACTGCTGAACTACTGACCTTCCACAGCCTGCAGTTCAGCATCTTAACCACTTGAGCCACCGCAGCTCATATTAAGCCTCTATTAAACAGAGATGGTATTTTTCTCCACGGCTATTGGCAGCCCTGCTTCCACTGCATCCTAAAATATTCCAAGGATACTCCCTCATTTCTTCAAGAAGCTCTGTTGCTGCTGCTGAAAAGGATCAGGCTCTAGTAGATGCCAAACAGGGGAACAACCAGAAAGTAGCAGCCAGAGGAAAAGAACCCGATCCCTTTCCTTGATGTACCAGTGAAGATATGCAAAGGCCATTCTAACTGGCAGTTTCCTCAGCAAATGAAAAAACGGAGGTTCATCTTTGGCCATTTACATGACCGTACTCATGTGAGAGTCCCTTGGACTGCAAGAAGATCAAATCAGTCGATCCTAAAAGAAATCAACCCTGATTGTTCCCTGGAAGGCCAGATAATGAAACTGCAGCTCAAATACTTTGGCCACCCAATGAGAAGGGAGCACTCACTGAAGAAGAAGACCCTGATGCTGGGAAAGATTGAAGGTCAAAGAAGACGGGGATGGCAAAGGATGAGATGGTTAGACAGTGTCATAGATGCAACGAACATGAAATTGAGCAAACTTCAGAGGACGGCGGAAGACAGGAGGGCCTGGCGGGAGCTGGTCCATGGGGTCGCGAAGAGTCGGACTCGACTGTGCGACTGAACAACAACAACAACTCGTGTGAGATAATATTAGTGTGAAATGGGCTGCTCATGATTATAGATGGCAACAATTCATGAGACTTAAGCATTCCTTTTCCAGCCCCTGTGATAAGTGTGTTTCCTGGTTCAGACTCATATCCTTCCACGTGCTTAAGGGCACCTGCATACCTAAGGTGTGTGCCAAGGGACTGATTTGGCCCTCCGTAAAGTGGTGTCAGTATGAACAAAGACAAAGATTTTGTGGTGTGCTGGTCTAGGATCTGGGAGTTCCAGGTTCAAATCCCCCTTCCGCCATGGAAGCTTGCTGGATGGCCTCGGACCACTCGCTTGGGCAACCTGGCCTACCTCACAGGGTTGATAAAATGGAGGAGAGGAGAATGACTTGTAAACCTCTTTAAATCCTCATTGTGGAGAAAAGCAGGGTTTAAACATTGAAGTAACGAAATACAACCCTTTCACATTTTAAATCTCACTGCAGACTTACTGTGCAGTAACAAAACAGTTAAAAAGGTAAAGGTAAAGGTTCCCTTGCTCGAAAACCAGTCGAGTCCGACTCTAGGGTTGCGGCGCTCATCTCCGTTTCAAAGCCAAAGAGCCAGCGCTGTCCGAAGACATTTCCATGGTCATGTGGCCGGCATGACTAAACACCAAGGTGCACGGAACGCTGTTACCTTCCCACCAAAGTGGTTCCTATTTATTTACTTGCAATTTCTTGCTTTCGAACTGCTAGGTTGGCAGGAGCTGGAACTAGAGACGGGAGCTCACGCCGTCATGCGGCACACTCGGGTCTCGAACTGCTGAACTACCGACCTTCCACAGCCTGCAGTTCAGCGTCTTAACCACTTGAGCCACCGCAGCTCCTAACAAAACAGTTACTGAACCACTATTCAAACAAATTTACCTGGAAGTAAATTTACCTTGATAGCAATGTAGGCTTCTTGCAGGAAAGTGTACTTTTGGATCATCCAGAAGTTAGTCTACTTTATTCAGGAACTCATCCTATTCCAGAGGTACCTCCCCCCCCCCAGACTTCTGTGGCACACACAGTTAAATCAGTGTACAATGGATAAACTGTCCTAATGTTCAAACTTTGCTTTCTACACAGGTGCACCTACTTCATCCACACTGTGCCACTGAGAAGCAAAATCATTTATACAAAGCAGCAAGGAAAATCCCCCTTCCTAGCAGACCAGAGAATGTGAACTGCTAAGGATCAGCTGGTACAAGTTAGGAAGGTAACATGGGAGGAGCTGTTTCAAATAAAATGAGGTGTGGTGGAAGGACTGACAAACATTTGATTTACCACCTCTGGCTTGCATGTACCTAGGTGAGGGCAAGGGAAGAGAGATAAGGAAAGGGGAAGGGTTACAGAACAGACCGCTCTCAAACAGCAAGGACTTCCCTTTTATCTTAAGGAGGTATAATTAAAGCTTGAGCAAATTTCTAGGTTTTCTGCTCACAGAGTCGCTGTCAATCAGACACTTACCAAGCAGAAGGCTGCAGACAGCAGACGCAACATGTAAACATCGACTATAAGCCCTGACTCTAACTTTCTCCTGAGGCTTTGGTCCCATTGTAGCAAAGTACACAATTTCTTAAAAATCAGCTTAGAGATTTAGGATTCTGCCTTAGGGGAAGTAATCATGTATGTATTGTTGGTGAGGATATAATGACTTACAGGTAGTGTTCTTCAGCCAGAATTTGAAACCCAGAATACAATTTCTGAAGTCAAGCTGCTCTTATCAAGGTTGCCATCATCTATATCTTCTAGATTTGGAGGTGCTTAGTTGCTATTGCATTCATTTATGTACATTAGTCGTGCCCACATGTTTCAGGGCCCTCCTTTTCCCTCCAGGATGGGGTGGGAAGAGATCTTACTATATTTATTCCAAGCAACATAAAGTAAAATACACACCCAACATTTGGCTTTGCACCCGCCACATGCTTACCTTGCTGCAACACATTTTGGGAAGGGAACACATCATCACACGAACTCCTGCAGCACATTTTTGTTCTCCTTGGCTTTCTTACATGTGTAGAGCCATTTGATTATCCGAGCATTGCGTTCAATCACTGACAAGCCTGTGGGAACCTGCTCTGTTAGTTCTTCTTCCAGCAACCCATCGTCACCACTGTGCCTGGTGAAGTCACTTTCTGACGTTGCCACACTGGTGCTGCGAATCCGGAAAGAGATGTTATCAGAAGCCACGGAAAAGTTCTCTTGCCCAAGGTCCTCTATTACTTCAGGCTCAAGGCCGCAATACTTAAAGAAAGTGTCAAACTCAGAGAAAGATTTTGAGTATCGGGAAGAAATGTCCGACTGAGACCGGTGGAGACCTCTCCTCCTCACTTCAGGAGGCACCACAGTCTGATTTGAAGCATTCTCACATCTGCTGGCGAGAATGGTTGCTGTACCTGTGCTCAGAGTTATGTTCTGCCCTCCTGCGTCAAGTTTATTGCCCACATCTTCAATCAGTAGAGGCCCTTCTGTTGTAGGCGCAATGTCTTCCTTGAGGATGGCTTTGGACACCTCAGAAACCAGCTGCTTTTCCTTGAAAGATCCCTGGAACAGCCTTCTCACTAAACTCCCACGACTGTTGTCATGGCTTTGGCCTCTCACAAATTCACACTTCTGGCGATAGATCACTAAAGAGTCTGGTCTGATTTGCCTCTTGGAACTGCTTCGCCTCGCTATGGGAGGGCCGTGTTCACGGGGAGCTGGGCCAGAGTCCACCACTGTGTTAACTCGCTCCACGATTTTGATGCTTTCTCCCTCAGCCAAGTTGTTGTTGACTTTTTTACTTTCCACAGAACTGCTCTCACAGCTGCTCTCTGAAGCAGAGCTGAGGGCAGAGATCGGCCCCTGCTTAGCACTGCTTACTTGCTGACTTTTTACATACTTTGCCTTATCCGCTGCCAGTCTTTCCACAGCACTCTTCCTGCCAGGGGTGCCTGCCTCCATCTGCTTGCGAAGGTACTCAGGACCTTTGTTGAGAAGCCGCACTGTCAGCGAGGAATGGAAGCCGGAGATGGCATGCATTCTCACTGCATGAGAGATTTCAGTTGGCATATCAAGTTCAGGTGTTCCAAGCTCACTCACAGTTCAGGAAAAAGAAAAGCAGGTTGCACAACATCCGTTCCCCCACCACCACCACCTTACTCTTCAGGTAGAAGACATCCAGGGATTATTGCCAAAGTGCCAACCCTCTGCTGCTGCTTTTTAAAATTTATTTCTGATGGCAGGAACAACTCCTGTGCTTCAGCAAAGCCCCGCTGCCTGTGCCTGCCGCAGACACTCTGCCTGCTCACACCTCCACACAGCTGCTTCCTTGCACATTCACCTTTCAGCTGAGCCAGCCCTGCAAGCCAGAACCAGCCAATCCTGTCTGAGCACAGAAGGCCTCTCTGACATCACTGGGGAGGGAGAAGGGCTCATTGACGTGAGAGGAGTGGCTCAGACCATCAACACTCCATTGCCGCTAGCAAGGACGAGCCCTAATGAGAGTGTTTGTTTAGCATCTGCTTTCTGCTGTCTCCTCCTACCACAGCAGCCTGGGAGTGGATGAAAATACCAGAGGAGTCTTGCTGCAAAGGCTGCCCAGGCAACATGCTGAGGGGAGAGAAACGTCAGAATGACTCTGCTAGGCAGAAGGACAGGGGAGCCCTTTGCGGAGACATACGTGGTGACCCTACAGACCTTTGACTTCTGTGCTGCATTCTGTACAAAGAGGCTGCAAAGACACAGGCAGGAAACCTTTCCCTCAGTCAGTTATCCCACACTGTTGCATAATGTACTTGGGCTTTTGCTTTACAAAAAAAATGGAGAACCATATTGGAAAGAGACATATTGTAAATCTCCCTTTTGCACAGTCCTGTCGTGAGCAAAGTGCCAACACGTTGTGAACGTTGGCGACCGGCATCTGAATAGCTGCAGATCCATCAAAACACAGAACTGGCAGGACTGCTGATAGGATCTTTCTTCCAGCATCTGTTTGGTTTTGAGAGCCATTTTCTTACAATGTCATTGTTGAAGATTCCCAGGTTGCAATCTGCAGAACTAGCTTGTTTCAAACAGCTTGTCGATTGTCACTCTTCCCACTTCACGTCTCCCTGTCCTCTTGCTCACTTTCCTAGCCAGATTTTCTCATGTTTCCCCACAGTCCCTGGGACAGCAAAGTGGATCATAGATCCAGGAGGAAGAGCAGAACAGAAGAAGGCAGAGGTGCATCTCTTTTACATCCCCAGGCTGTCAAAAGGCAGCATGGTTCTCCAGGTAATAATGTGATCTTACATTCCTTGTTATCCTACCATGTTTGATTGTAAAAGTACATTTTGTACTTCAAGTGCTCCTCCCGCCATCTGCTCAATGGCTCTCTATGGTCTGGACAGAGCCTTAAAGGAGGAGAGTGGTGGGAATCAGATTCTCCCTGCAGAGACTTAAGCGGATAGTGGCACAGTTGCCACTTTTGCTGAGGTCCTGCTTTTATAACATACCCGATCTAACAGTTAATTCTGCCTCTGAGCTGGGCTAGAATGGGAAAATTAGTGGGCAGTGCTAGGACTGTGGCGGTAAACATTGTAGTGTAGTGCGAATCCCCCCCCCCCAGCACTAATAAGTTCAAGGATTTGGTCCAGTGTAATTCCAAGCACTACTGTCCCATCTTGTCAGATACAACCTCAGAGAGATACCACATACACTCAATGACATTTAATGTGTCCCATTCACAACCCCAATGCTCGGTACTGCAACATCAACAGACATGGCTGGGTAAAGATGAACATAGAAAGGAATGGCATATGCTGCAGGGAACCATGGGAAGATGAAAAAAGGTATCAATGCAAATAGGGATGTTAGTGGAAGGGACCATGGAACAAGAAGGGCTGGGCTCTCTGGAGGAACATCCACTTTACGTTCATAAATTCCCAGATTCGATCCAGCACCCCCAGTTAAAAGGATCAGATAGTTGCTGATATTTATTTATTTATTTATTATCAAATTTATACCCCACCCTCCCCACAAAGCAGGGCGGCTTCCAACACGACATATAAACAGCTTAAAAACAGAATTATTAAAAACACTACAAATCAACAAGCATAAAGTGCTGGCAGCAATTAAAAGTCACTTAAATGACACGTTTTCAATGGATTTCCATTTCCCAGTGTTCTAAGGTGTTTTTCTGCTCGTAGTTTCCTTAAGGCAACAACTCAATGGTAGCTCATGGGCCAGGTGCTGCAACTGTCAGGTGATCTAATGGCCTCTAATTGAATGCCTGGTGGAAGAGCTCCGTCTTACAGGCCCTGCGGAACTGTGAAAAGTTCCGCAGGGCCCTGGTCTCCTCCGGGAGCTCATTCCACCAGGTAGGGGCCGCCACCAAAAAGGCCCAAGCCCTAGTGGCCGCTAACCTGGCCTCCCTTCATAAGCCGCAGTTCCTGGGTGTACCAAGGAGCCAGTTTAGTGCGGGAGCATAGAGGGTGCTGTGGAGCGATCTCATTGATGGCTGCGGAGAGCCGGCTATTCCAGTTCCCCACAAGCTCATCCAATGAGCTGCCAGGGGGCATCGGATCCCACAGAGCCATCTGGAGCTGCACCGGGTCCATCTGGCTCCATGGGCGAGCTAAAATATGCTCGCCACCTAAACAGGGTTGGAGTGGGACATTCAGACGGGCCCCTAGAGCATGGTGGTCCGACCACGGGACTGCCAAAGCAGTAACCCAGTTCACTGTTACCCCCACCGCGAAGATCAAATCGAGTGTGCCCTCCCTGGTGAGTGGGGGTCATTACATATTGTGAGAGTCCCAGCGCCACCATGGACGACACCAGGTCCGCTTCCTGAGTAGAGGTCACGTCATCGGCATGGACATTGAAATCATTGAAATCACCCAGGACAATCAGTCTAGGGTGTTCTAATGCCCAGCCTGCTACGGCCTCCATCAGGGATGGCAGGCTATTGGCTGGTGCGTTAGGTGGTAGGGACACCAGCCAAAACGCCAAACTCTCCCTGGCCTGCCAAACCAGGCCAGCACACTCAATGCCCATGATCTTCGGAGACGAAAGCGCCCTAAAGGAGCAAGCCTCCCGAATGAATAGCCTCCTGAATGAATGATATGAAAGACCTTCACCTGAGACCTTGGAGAGCTGCTGCCAGTCCAAATAGGCAGTACTGCGCTTGATAGGCTAGGGCAAACCGGCTGATAGTTAGCCAATTTGGCCAGATCCAGAGATTTTTTTTCAGGAGAGGGTGGACCATCGCTTCCTTGAGTTCCCCCAGGAACTGCCCCTCATGAGCTCATTAGTTCAAATGGGAGGGCAAAGATAGTCCTGCAAGCCTCTTCCCTGGCAGTCAGACCTGATAGGCTAGGGCAAACTGGAAACTGGCTGATAGTTAGCCAATTTGGCCGGATCCAGAGATGTTTTTTTCAGGAGAGGGTGGACCATCGCTTCCTTGAGTGCCCCCGGGAACAGCCCCTCATGAGCTCATTAGTTCAAATGGGAGGGCAAAGATAGGCCTGCAAGGCTCTTCCCTGGCAGCCAGACCTAACCTTTGTGAATCAGAAACGGACTTCCAGCATTTAAATATGAGTGGGTGCATCTTAAGCCTTTTCCTTACTCTATGTTTCTTTCTTTTTTTAATAACTTTTTAATTTCATTTTATAACCTACATCCTAAAGGGAAGGGAACAGGGGGTAATCACTATATCTATATCTAAAATAAAAGATAAGACAAGGATCATGATCTAAATGTTACAATGTATATATAACAATCCTACAATAATAATAAAGATCAATTTATCAAAATTCAGGTTAACACTAGCTTAATCTTAATACTAGCCTCTGGTGTTTTATAATCACTTATATTCTGCTAAAATATTCATTTATCTTGTACGTTTCTTCTTCTTGTACTTCAGATTCTTTTTAGGTATTTTAGGTGCAGCTGCCCCCTTCTCTGAGTCTGAGGTTTCCAGGGTACTGCTAGAGCTACTCAAGGTGTCTTCTGTTCCTCAATCACTGGTTCCCTCTTCTTCAATATTGTCCACAGGTTTTTTGTCATCTTTACTCGGACTTTGTTGTTGTTTCAAAAAATCTTTGGCTTTTTGGACAGAGTCAATTTTATTCTTCTTATCTTTATAGTTCAATACAAGTCCCTCTGGGAAAATCCATCTATAAGCGATTGAGTTTCTTGTTCTAATATATGGAATAATTTGTTTGGGATCATTTGGACATCCACATGTCATTGGAAGCCCCTTTCCACTGTTCAGCTCTATGCTTTGGATCATTCAATGCATTCTTCGGAGCTATATCCTGCTCTTCTGCTATGGAACACAACAACGTGAGTTAGGTTAGGTTGAGAGGGCTCTTAGCTCAAAATCATCCAGTCACCATCACGGTCTGAGTGAGGATCTGAACCTGGGTCTCCCCAGTCAGTCTTACCACTGAAAATTGGATCAAAAGTGTCCTTGAAAAGTGAAAAATGTCCACAAACATCCTCCTACTTGTGCAAGAGCTTGTATAAACTTTTATACGTAGAGGCTTGAGAATAGCTGTAAAATCTAGCTGTAATGGCAGTGCACAAACTGTTGAGCAAATGTTTGCAGCACTTTGGAAGTGGGTCTTTTCCTTCTGCTCACCTTTCTTTGGATCCACGCCAAGGATTTCTAGATCTAAAATCTTGTTTACATCTTGTATTGCCACTGTTTCATTGCCTCATGGAGGAACTGGAAAAAGGTTTTCCCCCACATGGATGATGTGTCACAGGGGCATTCTGTACTGCTCTGTACAAATAGCAGCCACATCATTTGCTCAGAAATCACATCAGGACATTCTCAAGTGCCTCCATCACGGCTGATTCATTCTGTAATTCTACCAGCCTTCTCAGGAGCATTTGTGAAGAAATTCACCATCATCTCTGGAAAACTGCCCTGTCTGTAACTTGTGCTATGATGCGTACATGTTTTCATGGCTCCAGGCTACCACCCTTAGAGGATGCTGCTATTAGGCACCGGCTGTCTTCCCACACAACCCTATGTTTAAACATGGACAAATTATTATAGATTTGGCATGGTAGCTTGTATTTTTAAAAGGAAGTGTGATTATCACCTGACAACAGCAGAAGCTTGAAGAGCTGAATAAGCTAATTAAGGGTGTTTTCACAGAGACCATTAAAGCTTTTTCACCTTTTCCTCATGTGTAACTTCAAAGCAAAGGCACTCCCACATGCATTGGCTTCTCCCAGTTGTCACGGTGCTTTTTCAAGTGATGCTGAAGTGCTGTCGTGCAGACACCTGCATGTG